TAGGTGTCAAAAAATCAATTTTCACTTTTTAGTTGATTCGGATGGAAGATGAGATGCTTTTTCACGTGATAGAAAACTAGTTTTCGCACGTTAGCTCCCTTTTCGTAGACCAGGTCACATATGTATGTATAATAAGCAATTGCTATCTGATCCAATTTTATTATAATTAATAACGGTTTCAACAGTCAGAGTCTATCCCAACAGGCCTAAGTGTTTCAATTTTTGGATAAAAAAATTTGAAAAATCGAAGTACAATCTCGCTTACTTCCTATATAACACATTTTAAATATAATATTATACCATGCGATTCTTTAACCTTCCAGTACACAAATCAAGATGTTATTAATATAACGGAATACACTTTTGCAGTAAAAATTCATTTAAAGTATACCACTTCTTGACCAAACATTGTCCAAATCTAACCAAAACTGTTCAAGATCCTAGTTACCAAATTTGTGGACCCCAGCATCTATAGTTGACTTTTGACCGAAAATATCGCCCAATGTCTGAGATATCTAATTGAAATCCTTACTTGAAAATAGTAATAATATTAAAAATTGATTGCATCGGGTTTATACTTGCACTTTCCTGAGTCCGCATATACCTAATATGTATAGCGATTTTCGAACTTCTTGGTGACTTTATGCTGGATATATCGGCCAATATTTATGTTATCTCAATGAAAATTTTAGAACGTAGTTTACTCACGACAGTATATTATTGTGCCTAAAATGGATACAATTTGACGAAAACTTGACCTAGTCCCCATATAACCACTACTAGGATTTTCGAACATCCGGCTGACTTTGTTTCATAAGATTGGTGACTGATCTGTTGTCAGTCAGTGTACATGTTATATAAATCAGCGTGGGTCATTTTAACTGTAACCATAACCGTCTCTCTGTGTATAGAAGTCACGCAGTTTTAGAGAAATGCATCTGAAGTTTTGCAAACGACTTTATCTGTTTAAAAAACTCGTATAGCGGCCATACAAACTAACGGTTCATCAAATCTAGTTATTGTGTGGAGACTTTTTCCTTGTGAAGGGTATTGTAGGTTCGGTGCAACTTAAGTTAACGTTTTTTCTTGTTATGAATAATTTTAGTCCACTTTTGAAATATGCACTCAAGAACTCAGCGCCACCAAACAACATATGCCTCAAGCAGATATTGTCGATAAGTATGCAACAACAATTTTGAAAGTAGTTTTTCAGTACACAAATCCGCTTGTTAGGAAATAAAAACACCGAAAATAAAGTTTCAAATTTGCATCAAGATAATAAATTAATTTTCCAATTTAAATTACTTTTGCTTTTAATTAGCACTTAACGTAAACTGGTGCGAATGATTAAATACTAGTTCTTAGATGCAGACGAATTTCATTCCATTTTTTTTATACTCTCGCAACAAAGTTGCTAAAGAGAGTATTATAGTTTTGTTCACATAACGGTTCTAAAACTAAAAGAGTCAGATATGGGGTTATATATACTAAAGTGATCAGGGTGACGAGTAGAGTTGAAATCCGGATGTCTGTCTGTCCGTCCGTCCGTCTGTCTGTCCGTCCGTGCAAGATGTAACTTGAGTAAAAATTGAGATATCATGATGAAACTTGGTACTCGTATTTCTTGGCTCCATAAGAAGGTTAAGTTCGAAGATGGGCAAAATCGGCCCACTGCCACGCCCACAAAATGGCGGAAACCGAAAACCTATAAAGTA